CTTACCGTGAACCACTAAGCTTAATGTATGCATTGGGACCCCATTGATCATGCTATTGTTTTTCCAGTACACAAGTTTAGACAATTGAAAAGTGTGCGACACATGTAATAATTAATATATTTTTTAAATAATATTTTATTGAATTTAGGATTAAAAAATTTTTATTAGTTTAATAAAATAGAAACACATATATAATAAATTATATAAATGTATTGAAACTGAAATATAATTTTTAATTATATTAATAAAAAGCTGTAGTGAAACAAAAATAAATAAATAAAATAAATTTGTGTCAAAATTAAATAAATCAATTTTTTGTTGATGGCTAACGAAGTCTCATTTGCCTATCATTTGTCAATTATTGTCAATTAGTTTTGTTTTAATCATTGTTTGAACACATGATCATTGTTGTCGTTATTTTTATAGATCTGATTTTTGTTACATGTTCTTTGTTGTCACTGTTGTTTGCAGCGATTAGATTTAACTAGTTTTAACTCGTGTATTTGCACGGAAAACTATATAATACATCAAAAGTAATAAAAATATAAAAACAATTATAAAAATCATAACATGATGAATGAAAAAAATAAAGAAAATCTAAATATTATTAAATATTTTTTTTATATACAAAGTTCATGATTTTCTATCGTCAAAATTTTCACCACCATAAATCATTATCTTTAAACCCCTCCGACTCATAACTAGAAAACGCCACGTATAATTGCCCATGAAGGTGTTAACGAAGACACACTGGATGACGTAACTAAAATAATTAAATTGATATAGTTAAAATATGTGCTAAGATTTATTTTTAAAAATTCCGGACACAACATATAATTGTATGACAATGTAAATTAATATTTACACAATTTGTGACAAAATAACATGAAGAAAAAATAGAAACATGAAAGTTTCTAATATAAACGTTACTATTATATGTAAAAAAATTACACAAGTAATGATTTTACTTGTTTAAATTATTAAATATTGTACTACAAATAATTGAGGTCAATTTTGTTTAATAAATTTATTTTTTAGAATTCTATATTACATTAAAGTATTTTGGACCAGATATTTATACGATATGAACCAAAAATTTTAAAGAGCATAAAATGGGGCCATAAATAAAAAAATTAGTTCTTATTTAGTATAGAGATTGGGCTGAATTTATAACATAAATTAAAAAAAAAAAATCGGGCCCGTATTGAAACTGATAAGAATCCAGCCCGTCTATAAATCATGACCAAATGCATCAGATTCATAAAAAAAGCCCAATAGTGTGTCCATTATCACAATTAAAAATTTAGCCCAGGAAGAGTTGAGACAACTTTGTATAAAGGGCAAAAAAGTCTTTTCATGAATCATGCAAAATCTGCACCCTAGAAATGGCTTATGTTGGCTACTCAATGTCTCTCTCCTTTGTTCTCTCTTCCCAAACCCTTATCAGATATGCATATCTCTGTCGGCGACTCAATGTCTCTCTCCCTTATTCTCTCTTCTCAAACCCTGATCCTCAGGTTTGGGAAAAAGATTTTGGTCGAGAAAAAAGCCGAATACTGTATTTTCAGCGGCGATTCTCTGAAATTTTTCAATACGATTTTGAAAAAAAAAAATCTGAAATATGTATTTCTTGCTAAAATAGAGATGGAATAGCGAAATCGTCTCGATTTTACTAAATCCAAGTACTGGTTCATAGTATTTCGGTTCAAATCGGGTGATAACATGTTAAATCTTTGGAGATCTACATTTTTTCCGATTTTTTTAGTTTCTTTTATTTTTTAAGAATCTTTTGATTAAAATCGGCCTAAAACATAATAGATCTGTCAAGGTTTGTATTTTTTTTACATGTATTCTAAGCTTACCACGAGGGATAGCTTCCGACAGACGGGCACCTGCCCGGATAGTGGTTTAAAGAGACCGTATATAGTCCTTTTGATATATTTAACAGCAGTAACAATGCCCTCATTGTGTAAACACGGCCGATCTATATCGGCATGATTGAATTTTATTTTTTTATGATATTTTTAAGGTTTTTATTGTATTTAACAAACGAATCTTTGGTGAAGTACTATATTCTATTTTACAAAAATTGATCTTCAAATGAATATGTTGATTTTTGACAAAATATTGATAATATAGAACCCCCCAGTGAGTTTTTCAGATTTTCAGTTTGAAATTCAAATTGTTCTTCATATATCTCTCAGATCTATATAGATTTAAAAATGTAAACCTAAATTTTTAATGTATCGACATTTTTGAAGCTTCATATTTTTTTTTTTTTTTTTTTTTTTGTAATTTTTAATTGTTATCACCAGATCTAAAAAGATCTGGTGTTTGGATTACAAATCTCACATACTATCATGTTAATATGTTTGATTCACATGCATTCTAGTAACTTGTTTAAATTTTTTGTTGTAAGAATGTTGACCAGATTAAGTTTTTGCACAATAAAAGGTTTATTGATAATTGAGACCACTAATTAACGTGTTAAAAAAATATATATAAATCAACCAATTGTAACGGCTACAGTATTTAAGACAATTATTTGCCAATTTTAATACAGCCAACACATTAAAAACCAATGTTGATATGTTTTTGTAATAAACAAATAAGAAAAATAATTGAAAAATAACATTTTTAGGTGGGAAATGCCATATAATTTAATAGGTTTTTCTTAAATACTCATGAGTCAGTGATTGTATATATATATAGGGTTGGATTCAAATGAGAATGTGCTTATTGAAATAAATGAGAATACATGGTAGCTATCCGATCCAATAATCCAATGAATTAAAAAAGTCAAAATATTAGACTCAATAAGACTCAATAAGGGTATTTTCAACATTAGCCTAACCACACCCACCCAATCACCCTGCCTGTGGGACCCACCCCACTTACCTCCCACGTCCCACCCCAGTTCTCTTCCTCACAACAGCACTTTGCCGTTTCCTCCTCAAAGCCTTTCGGCAAGGCCCCGCCGGAAATTTGTTCACCACCAGGTTCACAGCCCACACAGACATCATCAACACGTCGCCGCAGTCTCCACCACCATCCCCTAAGCCACCTCCACCCAACGACGAGCACTCCGGCCCCTCTAGCAGCTGACACACCTAACACACACACAGAGATCCACACATATACCTTGCTCGACACTCTCACGTCCGACCACCCCACACAAAGCCGCCGCAACAACCGAGTCGCCTGCCGCTGCCGCCGCAATAACGGAAGATGACATCGTCGTCTTGAAAAAATTGGAGCTTCGGCCAGAAAATTAATGTCCCACGCCGCCGACGATTGTTCGAATGCGGGGAGCCCGACGATTTTCCGGTCGCCGACCCCGTGCAAGGAACTCAATTCACGATCGATTGGCAGAATACCCTATCAATTTCTCTTTCTGGCTTGCTGAAATCAATTTTTTTTTTTTTTTTTTCCAACGATATCAAATCTCCATTCAAAATCAAAATAGCCGCCCAAAGGGCAAATGTACACAGAGGACGACTCCAATAACCTGGGTAACTGAGAGGAAACCATATAAGCTTCCTAAACATAACTAAAAACAACCAACAACTCAAATCCTCATAACAGCTATGAAAGTGACCCTACAACCGAATACATTGACCATATAACACTAATCAACAGCAACACCATAGCAACACAACCAAAAACAAAATAGAAAGATCACTGACACGAGACCTAACCTATCTATTAAGAGTTCTGGTATCATTTGGTGTTGTTTTGGTTGAAGTCCAACCAGTCCTTCACAACTGCTTTGATGATCCAAACCTCAGATTGCCAAATGCCTTCGAACACCCAAAGATTTCTAGCTCTCCACAACCACCACAAAATATAAGTGGAGAGCTGAATCCTTGCTTCAGAAATGTCCTTAGTATCCATAGTACAGACCCACCAGCACCATTGCTTCACAGTCATCTGCTCTGTCTGCACTCTATTCCAACTGACAGGGGACAGTTGCCAAACCATTTTGGCCTTCCTGCATAGAAATAGTATGTGCTCTTGCGTTTCCTCCTCCTCACCACAGACTCTGCAAGTTGCCTCCAGCTCCATTCCTCTGTCCAGCAGGTTACAGTAAACAGGTAAAATATTGGAAAAACACTGCCACACAAAATGCTTAACCTTGCCCATCACTTTCAATGCCCAGCACCTCTTCCTGGCTTGTCTGTTTCCCTCAGCAACAGCACTACTTTCAGCCACTGCTTTCATACAAAGTCTGTCAGAGAGCAATTTAGAGTAAGCTTTTTTAACAGAGAACTTCCCTTTGCCAAAGATGGGCACTGCCAATAATCAGCAACTCTAGGGTTCAGAGTTTTAATCAACAAAATCCTGTCAGCATCAGCTTCAGTGAACAGAGCTCTCACTAAAGTAGTATCCCAATTCACACCACCTGCCAGCATTAGATCTTTAACCCAAAACAATCTTCCACCCACCTTAGTTCTCAGTTCAGGCTTCTTACCACTCAAACCTGGCACCCAGTTCACCTCATTCAATCTAGTGCTTTGCCCATTCTTAATCACCAACTTTACCTGTTTCTGCAAATCAGGTAGGAATGTTGCCCATGAACTCCACAGCCAAGAAGCACTCCCAGTATTTCTCCATTCAAAAATAGAGCAGTCATTAAAGTACTTGCTCCTTAGAACTCTACACATCAGCATATCTGGTTGCTCAAGAAGTCTCCACAGCTGCTTCAATATCAGTGCTTTGTTGAAAAGTTGAAGGTCCAGAAATCCAAGTCCCCCTTCCTCCTTTGGCACAGTCAGTTTATCCCATGATAGCCAATGCATATTCTGCTTCTGAGACTGCCCCTTATTCCACCAGAATCTAGCCACTAGTCTGCACACATCTTTACAACAGCTAACAGGGAGCACAAAACAAGACATGACAAAAACAGGTAAGGCACAGAGCACAGACTTCACCAAAATTTCCCTCCCTGCAGTAGATAGAAAGGTATTTTTCCAGCTGCAAATTCTGTCTTTCACAGCCTCCACCACATACTGGAAAGTTTCAATCTTTGAAGCCCCAATACCCAAAGGCAGCCCTAGATACTTAGAAGATCTCTTCACCACCACCCCATCAAGAATAGAAGATATTCTGGTCTGCAATCCTTCAGTACAGTTTTTGCTTATGAAAAGAGAGGATTTGTGCAAGTTAACTTTCTGCCCTGTAAACTTTTGGTATTTGTGGAGAATTTCAAGCAGCAACTCAGCATGTGACTCATCAGCTTTACAGAAAATTAGGGCATCATCCGCAAACAGCAAATGAGAGAGAACAGGACCATCCCTAGAGACTTTGATACCCTTAAACCACCCAGCATTAATCTTATGTTGCAAGAGAGCAGAAAACATTTCAGACACCAAAATAAAAAGGTAGGGGGACAGAGGGTCCCCCTGCCGAATACCCCTGGAAGAATTAATATACCCACATATCCTGCCATTCAGATTAAATGAAAAAGTAGGGCCAGCAATACAACTGCTTATCCAATGCACAAATTTGCCATGAAACCCCATTCTACTCATAATTTTCCTAATACAATCCCACTCCACACGATCATAAGCTTTTTCCATGTCCAGCTTGACTGCCATAAACACATTAGGCCCAGATCTGTGTCTATGCAAATAGTGGAATATTTCATGAGCAATGATGACATTGTCCAGTAAAAACCGGCCAGGGACAAAAGCAGTTTGGGCTTGACTGATACAAACATCCAGGCAACTTTTCAACCTCTCAGCCAGCAACTTAGCAATAATTTTATAAAGAACCCCACAGAGACTAATAGGTCTATAGTTACTTAATGCTTCAGGATACATACACTTAGGAATCAGAGTGATAATAGTGTGTTTCCAATTTTTCAATAAATGCCCAGTTCTGAAAAAACTACAGACAGCCTTACACACATCAGCTTTGATAATATGCCAAAATTTTTGAAAGAAACTAGCAGACATACCATCATCTCCTGGGGCTTTCTCAGGAGCCATACTGAACACTGCAGCCTTTACTTCCTCCTCTTCCACAGGTCTGATTAGATCATTGTTGAGAGCATCAGAAATAGAGTGTGGAATATATTGAAGCAGCTCCTCACCCCCAGTGGATCCCTCTGAAGTAAAAAGGCCTGAGTAAAAATTGGAAATATGCCTCTCCATAGCCTCATGAGTATCACATATATCACCAGATGGGGTTTTCAGAGTGGAAATAAGGTTAGCTCTTCTCCTCTGTGATGTGAAAGCATGGAAAAACTTGGAGTTGCAGTCACCACTCTTAAGCCACAAAGCCCTAGATTTCACCCTCCAGTATCTCTCTTCCTCTTGATGAGCATTGTCTAACTCAGACTTTAGCACATTCCACTCCTCCCAATCCCTATCTTTGCCCACCAATCTCATCTCTTCCAGTTTTGCTGTGAGAGTAGTTATGACCTTTTCACTATTTCTGTGGACTGGCTTGTGCCAGGCAAGAAGAGACATTCTAGTATGCTTCACCTTCTGATGCACCTGATACATTGCTGAGCCTTCTACCTCCACTTGCCAGCCATCTTTTACTGCATCTTGCACACCCTCCATATTTGCCCACTGACTACTAAACTGAAATCTTTTGTGTCTCCTTTCCAACTGCTTATCAGTATCAAACAGAAGGACATTGTGGTCAGACGTTGATCTGTAGAAATTTGAAGCCACCATGTTGGGGAACTTAACCCCCCACTCAAAAGACACAAATATTTTATCCAATCTCTCCTCCACATAACCATCCCCTTCTCTGTTATTCCCCCAAGTAAAGAAAGAACCCAGCTGAGCCACTTCTTGCATCTGCATATTAATGATAAACTCCTGAAATCCCACAAAGCTGCTATTTCTCCTTCTCACACCACCCCTTTTCTCCTCATTATCAACAATGTCATTCCAGTCACCAGCTATTAACCAACATGGGCCCCATTGCTCTTTGCTATCTTCCAGAAATGCCCACTGTTGTTCCCTTTCCCTTCTATCAGTACTCATATACACAAAAGTCATCCACTGCCAATCAGAGATTCCTTCACCTTTTATTTCCACTTGAATGCAGAACTCATTCCCCAGAATTTGTCTCACCTCAGTAGAATTGTCCCATAGTAACAGTAACCCACCTCTAGTGCCAATAGGTTTTTCCAAGTGCCATCTATCCATAAATCCCAGCTTTCTACACACAGTTTGAGTAAACTTGTCAGATTTATTAGTCTCAGATAGGAATATTATATTTGGGTGGTGGATTCTTCTAGAATCCTTAATCTGGGAAACTGTAGAGGACCCACCCAGCCCTCTACAGTTCCACACCATGACCTTCATTGGTCACTCTGGGGCCAATTATGGCTGGCCTTCTCCACCAATTGTGCTCCACAGTTACCCTTTTGTCTCTTCTCAGATCCTGCATCATCTGCTTGTTGGCCTCCTTCATATATCACCAACTCTCTGCTTCTTTTAAGAGGTACAACCCTAATCTTTTCCCCGGATACTTCTGGTGCACTTCTTAGGTAATAGAGTACATTCTCTCGGGTGAGAGCGAAAATTTTCTCGGGTGAGAGCTGAATTCCCTTTCGTCGAGAGAGGTGTGATCTTGTCTGAGGGGTCTATTTCTAAATTGTTGGGGAGGGAGTCGGGATTTATAATCATTTTTGAGTGTGATAGATTGGGGGTTGGGTATTTTAGGGTTGGTGGGTTGGAAGCCAGGAGGCGGGAGCAGTGGGCGGAAGTGGTATGGAAGGTAAGTCTCAGGGCAATGGTCCTGCAGGAGAGGGGGTGGATGGTGTTATGCGTAAACTTACTCATATGTACTTATCAACTAAAGAAGCAGGCGAAGTTGAAATCAAAGATGATGACATCAAAGCCTGTGAGGAAGAGTGTTCGAGGAGCCTATTTGGGAAGGTTGTGGGGGACAGGCACGCAGGACTGCTGGGGATAAAAAGAACAATGGGTGCCATTTGGAGAATGCAGCATTCGATGGAGGTTAAGGAAATCAGTGCCAACTTTTTCCAGTTTATTTTCCTGAGAAGACAAGAAGAAAGTTGGTGCCGGTCACAGCTGGATGTATGAGAACCAATACCTAATCCTTAAAGAATGGTTCCATGGGCTAAACAGCAAGCATAGCTGTTTTGATGAGATCAATTTATGGGTTCAAGTGTTGAATGTGCCTTTGAACTGGATGTGTACGGAAGTTGGACTGAAAGTGGGGAGGATATTCAACAGAGTTAAGAATGTGGTTGTTTGCAAAGTGGGTGGGGATGTTGGTAGCTTCCTGAAGATTCTGGTTGCCATTAATATTAAGGAGCCAATTCCAAGGTGTACTTCTATCAAGTTGGGTAATGAGAAGGTTTAGGTGGCTTTTAGGTATGAGAAGCTTGTTAACTTATGCTATTACTGTGGGATGATTGGCCATCTAGAAAGGAATTGTAGCAAGAGGGTGGATGATTTTGACAATGACTGTGTAGTAGAGGGACAATATGGGGAATGGCTTAAATCCAATGAGACATTTGCAGGTGGCAGAAGTATGCAAACGGGAAGTTCAAGTGACAAAAATAATCAAACGAATATAAGTCCTACTCGAGAATCTCTGGTTGCTGCTAATAATCACTCCAATGTGGGCTTGTCAGAACATATTAAAAGCAATGAAGATGCAGGTGGTAACGGGCTGACTATTGTAGATGAAGAGGTGGTGGCTCAAGATGTTTGTGGGAATAACACTAAGCAGAGTGATGAGAATGAAGCTGGTGATAACAAGGGCAAAAAGTCTATAGATTAGGGGTTTTTATTTTTAGAATTAGATAATTTGTAAGGACCTAATTTTAATTTTGATAATTTTCATTACTTTTTCAATTAAACCTATAGGTCAAAAATATTGAAAAATTGTCAAAAATAATGAAAATGTTATAAAAATTTTAATTCATAGGGGTCTAATTGCAATTTCATAAATTTTAATTTAATTCATGGGTCATATTTCTAATTTATTAAAAATGTGATTATCATACACTTATGTTAATTGAATAAGCAGGTGAAGATCAAGTTAAAGATCATACTCCTACCAATCGATTGGCTTGTCAGGAATGGGGATCAACCCAATATACATTCAGTTATTTTGGTTCAGTTTCAGCCTTAGTTACAAAATCAAAAACATAAAAATAAAAAAATAAAAATAAAATAATAGAACCGATCGAACTATATAAACAAAAATATTTATATTTTATCTATATATATTATTAATTTTCATCAAATAACGGTATAAAATATTTAATAAAAAATATGGATACCAAATATAGTTTTATTGTATAAATAATTTGATAAATGTAAATTAATGTTGATTGAAGTACATATTGAAAAAAATTCTAATATTCAAATGCACATAAAAATATATTGATCACCACATTGCACAATTAACATCAACAGCTCCCGTCAAAATATTACGCAAGATAAATTTTAAAAAGTAGATCTACATAATAATTTAATATCAATCACATCAGCTATACACAAAAAAAAAAAGCATGCTAGCCTACCAAAATTTCAGTATTGCATTTTATATACCAACATGTTGCACTTTATACAACAATACGGTGCACCTTATATCACAACATGTTGCACCTTATAATCAACACGTTGCACGTACCAAAATAGACTAAATCTGCTAATCAATCGAATAATATTAGTTGGTTACATGTCGAATTTAGCTTCTTTTTTTTTTCAAATAGACAAAATACTATATGAAGAGTATTACACATTTTTTTATATTTTTTATGAAAAAAATTACTATGTTTTTTATATACAAATTTTATGTATTGCGAGTACACATTAAGGTTATACTGAAAAAACCGACCAAAATCGACCATGATAAAAATTTTAGTTTGGTTATTGATTTTTTTAAAATATTAAAGGTTCGGCTTCAGCCGACAATTAAAAAATTAAAAAATAGCCAAACCGACTGAACTATATAAAATATTATTTTATTATTTTTGTATACAGTTATATTATTTATTTTCAGCCAGATATAATATTAAATGTTAAATAAATTAAAATACTAACTATGTTTTATATAATATAAATAGCAATTCGGTTAACCGACTATTTTGATGTTAATTTAGTTTGATAAAATTCATTAAAAAATAAATGCACTCCGTATGCACATTAACGTCAAAGGGATTGCATATCAGTGACTGACAGATTGCACTATATCGACCGAAATTGACCAAACTAATTTTTTGGATTTAAATTTTATATGTCGATTCAATTATCTATTTTTTCATTTTACGATTTTATTATTTCGGTTCGACATCAGCTTTATTTTTTTAAAAATGAGATAACCAACCGACCAAATTATATAAAAAGAATTATTATGGCGGATAATGCATCGGATAATGCACATCACTTTTATATCAAATGCACATTAATGCATCGGATAATGCACATTATCACAGCAGGTGTGTATTTTTTCACATATATTAAATTTTTAGTTTGTCTGTCTGGTTTCATCTTTATTTTTTTCAACAAATAATAATAGAGAATATTAAATACAAAATATAAATACTAGATATAGTTTTAGTATATAAATAAATTAATATATGCACAATAATTATAATTAAAAATACACATTATTAAAATATTCTAAAATTGAAATGTTCATAAAAAATATCCGCTCAATCGATTGGACAATAATACTAGACTAACACATTATTGTCTATGGAAATGCACATTGTTAATTTTGGTATTTCATATATTGTGTATTTATAATAAAGACTAATATAAATATTAAATAAAACTATTCAAACATTAAATAAATTTTTTATAATATAAAACAGATTTAGTTATAATATTTTATGGTAATTTTGGTTAACCGGACGAATAAACCATGTATTTCAGTTCAGTTTTAATTTGGTTGGGAAAAAAGTTCGTTTGGTACATACGCACAATAGCGACGGAAACACTGCACATTAGTGCTAGACGTATTGCACATTAACGATAAAAAATGAAATAACTATAATTTTTATATCCGAACTTATATATTTCGGTTATTATTAAAATTTAAGTTATTTTGACTTTGATAATTTCAATTGAAATAAAGTTATTTCGATAATTTTAGAATTTATATATTTCAATTATTTCGATCAAATTTTAAATAGCCGAGCTATATGAAAATTATTAATATTATGATTTATTTATTTTTATGTACTGCGAGTTCACGTTATAATTATATGAGTTGCACATTAATGACTATATGATTGCACAATATAAAAAATCCACCAAACTAAAATCTTCGGTTCAATTATTATTTTTCTACTTTGTTAAAACTCAGTTATTTCAGTTATAATTTCACCTTTATTTTTTTAAAAATAACTAAAATAATCGAACTCTTATTTATATATTTTTATGTATTGTTAGTGCACTTTATTTGTTGTTATTGTGCATTTAGTATTCTTTATAAATTATGTATCTAACCCATGAACTAAAGTGTATATATTTATTTTTTTTGGAGATTGCATACAAGTCCTTGCACAAAATTATGCCCAGCCCCAATTCATCCCCAAAACCATCTCTCTCGCCTTTTAAAATTCAGCCGTCAGCCCCCGCCGGACCACCGTGCATATGCTCGTCGTCACCTCAGTCGACCAGATTCCGACGCCATATCCATCGGTGACCTCACAAACTCCTTCAATTAATGTTTTATGGTAAGTCCCTCCAAAAGAGTGAGCCCCCGCTCGCCGGCTCCTCAGACGGAAAAATTGCCCTCGAAATTCAGATTACCGCTGTATTTGAAGGTTGTGAGGTTATTTAATCTCGGGACTGTAATAATATTTGTATATTATTCTATTATTGTGGACCATATAATTAGTTGGACCTAATTGAAAAAAATAGTCAAACTTTATTAAAGGTGAATATGTATTTAATGAATTATTTAATGTTCTAATATTAAAGAGTCCAATTTGTGATGTTTGACTTGGACAGTAAGTTAGGTTAGAACATGGGGAATGTTAGTAGGAATA